TTTTTTACAAAAATACGTATTTTGGTAACTTGAATTATTTCTTCCATATTGTGTTTGTTTTACATTTAAAAGGAAACCTCATTCATTGGAGATTTGCCCCTCAATGGGGATTGTAATAACAGGGGATTGTAATAATAAATGTATTTTATTTATTGCATTTATATTCTGCTGCCATCCAAATATATGGCAGCCCAAAAAGCAGACTCTGCCCCTGTGGGAATAACACTAGGATGATGATGATCCTAATCCAAATACATATTGCCAGTTATATGTTTTATAGTTATACCAGTATCTTTCTGTCTTGTAACTTTTTCATTTGTGTGGTGTATAATCTGAACATTATTGACTGAATGCTTATTTGGTTTGATAATTTATATTGGTTACACAATATAAAAGGGATGAAAAAGCTATACTGTATATTTTATATAATACACACATATTATGCGCCAGTCTAATACAGTGGTAGCATGGCCAATTAATAAAATTAATTTGACATTTTTCTAAGTAACATTCAAGATTTTATTCCTGAAGCTAGAATATCTTTCCATTTAATGTAGATCTTGCATACATTTGCTTTTACAATTGTAAATATACTTTATTAGTCGGAACCTTTATAAAATACCATGTAAGGAACAATAGAAGTAGATTGTTAGGTACTTCTTATTCTTAAAATAATACCCTCCCCCCAAAAACTCTATTTAAAACTCCTTTCCCATCATATTGGAAACAATAAAATCCAGTAATTTTAGCCTCCTGCTGAATCTCATTAGCAACTTTATTAATTCATCCACTTGATTAGTCTTTCATTTTCTATACAGTAGTTTAATGAAGATTGTAAATATAATGATCCAATGTAAGAAGTATTAAGAAATATTTCATCAGCATTAGCATATAATATGTTGAAAAGTATTTGAGGACTTAGTAAAAATTAGCAGTGAAATTATTCTGATAGCAAAATATTCTCCCAGGATGTAGGGGAGGGAGTATTCTGTTGACAATTCTTGTCTGATAGCAACAATTTTGCTTCAAATTTATCTGCAAGAAATTAGTTTTTAAGACTCCAAGAAAATGACATTGTTTGCTGTTTTCTAGCCAAACAAGCTTCATATTTGAAAGTAAATTCATTTTCAATGTATAATTGGAGTCCTTTAATTTTGCATATTTGCTAAAATATGCCTATCACTATTTAATGTGTTTATTTGATTTCGTTATTTTTCCCAATATGGAGAAAAATAAGAGTTGCTGTTGATTTTCTATTTAGAAAGGCATTCTTTATTTGCTCATTTTTAGGTCACATTTTAGCATATGGCAGCCATGTATGTGAATATAGATTAAGTAAAAGTATTAGGAGGTTATAGCTAATGATGCCTTCAGTTTTTTTCAATATTGTAGAATTTTGGCATATAAATTAATAGCAAAACTAATGTTTATTTTGTTTCAGATAAATGTAAGAAGAAAATTTAACTACCTGAATGTTTCAATTATTTTTCTTTTCATGAAAATTATGGAGGGTTTTTTTGTTTTTTGTTTGGTCTTATAGACTTGTAGTCATTCTGCCATTAAATGAAATATACAGTAATACATTTTGTGTTACTAGTCTTGAGGAAATTATACTGTATATTTTTAAATGTGATGATTGAGAACTTTTCTATATTGTGAAATTATGCATATTTTCCTGTGTCATGGATATGTTATTGCAGTTAGATTAAAACCCTTACTTACAATGCTTGTATTGTAGTCCGAGTGATGACATCATAGGGTTTTGATATTTCTTAGATTTCACAATATTGTATCACCATATGTTTTCATATTATTCAGCATATCTGTGAAAGTCATAAATGCAAAGATGGATTGCTGAATTATGAGAATTACATAACATCAGTGTGTATTTTTTGAATATATTATAAACAAACGTAAACAGAAATGGCATCCAAATAACAAATAAAAATTCAGTGTGTATAAAAGAAATTCCTAATTGTTTTTCTGTAACTCAATACTTTGTTTAGAAAATTAAAAGATGCTGTTGAAATATTATTAACCTATAATTTATACATATATCCTCAAACTTAAATGATTTATTTATTTTAAAGATTCTGCTAAAGCAATGTAAGAAAAACAGCAACATGGTTTATTTAATTGCTTAGTATTTTTCAAAATAAGGGCAAATCCAGGGATTGAATGTATGGTGGATACTGCTGCCTTCTGAAGATTTAATTTGTACAGGTAAGCAAAGGTAATACAAGGAGTTTACTAGTAAAGCCTTAAATTGTTTATGAAATAAACATTTTGTTTATAGTTAAGTAGAAGTATGCATACCATACATTTTGGGAGAGAATAAGAGGAAGCATATTGTGCTTCATTATTTTGCAAGTTTTTGTCATCTCAAAATCTTCATATTAATATTTTAAAAGGAATTTAAAATGAGATACCACATCAGCTACATACTAAAATTAAATTTTAGTGGGAAAAATTATTTCAGTATTGGTTTAAGAAAGGTCGTAAATCACTGGAACTATATAAAAGAAATTCAAACTTCTTTATATATCTATTATACAATGAAACAAAATATGATTTGTGTACTTTGAATGATAAATTCTTATCTGCCTTATTTATTTGGTGTGCAGTCCCCCTTTGAATTTTTCTTCTTGTCTTAAGATCTTAGATTAATAAACCAGACAATTTAGTGAAGTCTGGTAAATTTTTTACTATAAATGATAGTCTTTATTTTGAATCTTAACGCTATTTCTAACAGCATAAATAAAATAAAATACAAATCTTAATAGTTGCTAGCTAGCCATGGCTTCTCAACTGTAATTTGAATATAATAAGCTTTACAATACAGGATAGGTGTAGAATTACTGAGACAATGCCTAAAGCATTTAAATGCTTAGTAAATGATACTTTTACTTGCAATTGATACAATTTTTAACATTATTTTGAAGGGTGCAAAATTTCAGCTTGAAATTCTTGCCATTGCATGATTGTATATGATGTCTGAATGGAATACTAATTGTTCAGATGAAAACATGGATTTTAAATCAATTTTTTATGTTACATACCACTACCACCACCTTCTAGTAAAAATATCTTTGTAACCTTGGAAAAGGATAATATTTAGATAGATTTCTATATTGAAATCTTTACATGAGTTTAAATATTAGAATATTTATATGAGTTTAAGCATTTGTTTGGCCTTTGTTGGTGACTAGTATTTCCACATTTGGCTGGGTAATTTTCTCATGACAGTCCTATTTATTTAAAAATATTATTTATTGTGTTTGATAAAAAAATCATAGATAAAATAAAATTCAAAAGCTTTTTTGTCATTTACTCATATTTCTAGTTGATATTTGTAATCTAATGCTTATATGTAGCTTTATTGGCCTGAGAAATTAGTATGGTTTTCCTTTTTAACAGAAAAAATTACTTTTACCTATGATTCTTAATATATATTTTACTAAGTATTAATTGAAAGGGCTTACAAAATCTTACAATATTGGTATATTTGACAGCTTGATAATTGTATTTCTGTTTTTGCTAATTTCTGATTATGATATTTTTATGAGCAGAGTCCAGCAAGAACCTGTGGGACTTTTAGTTATGTGAATCACTATTTATTATTTTAGTGGATGCACAACTGAAATGCATATTCTATTCATATTGTAGTATTTGATATATATAACAAACAAGGTATTTAAAGCAAAAAAATATTTTTTAAAAAAGAAGTAGTTCTTCTCTTGATATTTAATAATTATTGTTCTTATAGTGGAGTTTATGCAGTGTGTTTTAGTGCAACATTTGCCCTCGATCTCATGAATTCTTTTAAATTTAATTGTAAATAATGATATTATTACTCATCTTAATTCTATGGTAATTTTAATATTTTGGTAGTCAGTATGTAAATTATAGATATATTTATTTTACATTAGAACATTTCAGAATTGCAGAATATCTTGCCTCTTACTTTTTTACTGTATACATTATATACATTATGTATACATTACATAGCTGGTTTTAGCTATATTATGGGGAGAAAATAATGCCAAATAAGTAAATACTGGATTGTAGTTTTTCTTTAATTCTGTTCTAATTTCTTCAGGTTATCAATCAGTGAAATTATCTGAAGCTTCACATGTGTTCCATCATCAATAATACATATCCTCTCAGCTTTTTTACTTAATCTAGGATGGCAATGTTCTCTTTTCTTTAATAAAAATTATGAATTTTGGTAGTACTATGCATCTTACTAAGTGTTTTAGATAAATACTTGCTAATGTTTATTTTTTATTTTAAGGGATACCTTAATAGTTGCATTTTTATCCATTTACAGAATCGAACTGAGCCCAATTGGAAATATTTATTTCATGCCCATGTGGTAATCTTAAAAACAAATCCAGTAATTCATTTGCCTATAGTTACTCTACCTGTCTACAAATAAATTATTTAAAAAGAAAAAAGCCTGACCTTCCAGTTTTGCTGAATATTTACTGTCTGTCTATGCTGTCATATAGTACAGACTACAGTTTGATGACTATATATTGCCAGGCATTTGCTGTTAAAGCATAATTGAAAATTAATATATGTATTTTATATTACATAGAGAATAATTCACATTTTTAAATTCTAAGACCAGTGTGATTATTACCGGTATTATAATACTACAGAATATTTTATATTATTTTTCCGTAATTAAATTTCAGAAAAGTATTAAATATGGCACAAATACAACCAGCTGTAAATACTGCTGTCTATTTTGATTCTTCCTTAGAGCCAGTTACTGTACTTGAGGCTGATCTCTGGGTGGTTATCTTGGTATTGTTTTGTGTCTTCTATATTAAAGACCACAATTTTGAAAAAGAATAAAAGTAGAATTTTTTATTAATGGACCTAATGGTATTTCATGGAATTATAAGTGTTATTTCATAAAATGGTTGGCCAAGAAATGAGAATGTTAAAATAATAAGTGGTAGGTTGACGATGCAAATTATGTTTACTTTCAGAGAGAACAGGAAATGAGAATGGGTGATATGGGTCCTCGTGGAGCATTAAACATGGGAGGTAGGGATCCGAAGCAAAAGGCTCTTGTTCTTGAAAATTTCTTTGAGACTGTACATATTACTTCTGTGGACCTTGGCAGATAATCTTGGCCAAAATTTTAATTGTTATATATTGGATTAATTTTTTTCTTTCAAACATACTTTTTGATTTTACAAAATTGAAGGTCATAGGAAAAACTATCAGTATCAACTGAAAAGCATTAATTCCTGTTTGTTGTAAATCTTTCTAAAGTTGTAAATGTAAAATTAAAATACATTGCAATACAAGTAAAAGTTTGATTTAATTTACTTCTTGAGAACTTATAGCAGGGTCTTGAATATGTAGTTTTTAATTGGAGGTTTGTGTTCATGGGAATGATGGGAGCAAACTATAATTAAGCATTTAAATAATCAGGTCTTTGTCTTTCAGAACTCTTATTTTATTATAACCATGTATGTTTATGTAATAGTAGCCAAGTATCATGTAAAGTTTCTACAAAACCACACTAATGAATATTTATACAGTATGCCAAAGTTGAGGTATTGACCTCTATGTTAGTTTAAAGTGAGTGAGTAGAACACTCATCACATACTAGAATTCTCCACATTTCTTTAACAACAGCTATTTTGTATGTCTAGTACTGATTATTTTGGTATCACTCACTGTGTGCCATTTTGTGCCATCTTGTATAATAATATTTATGTATAAGTGATTAAGATTAGCCTTTGTTTTATTTTGGTAGCTTCCTCAAGAAGTATGATGTCCAGGCATCTCTAATAACATTTGGATTGTTTATTATTCAGATTTATTACATTTTGATTTCAGATTTTGAGCTAAAATTGGTTTGGATGCCTTTATAAATAACTAATATGGGGAAAAGGAGGGGGAAACGTCTTCATAAATTTTAAAGCCATGTACAATCTGAATTTTCATTTTCTGGGGAACTGTTGCTTTGGGTATAAGCCTCTGTGGCAAATGTATGATCTAAAAGCAAGTTCCAGTTCTCAGTTTCCATCTGTTTTGAATTAGTCTAAAGTTCAGAAAGTACTTTCAGAGGGATTTTGTCTCTTTAATTGGTTAATCCTGCCCCTTTTGCCCAATCCTTTGTGCTTTCATTTAGCTCTACTGTAACAAGAATAAAGTGTAACAACTACTCATCCCCTGTTGAAAAAACAACTTAAAATATTAATTATATTTAGCAGTATTTAAATCATGAGTAAAATAACAAGGGAGCTTTGTAGATTAGCTCTTAGGCTGCTGTGATGATATCTGTATTAAGTAAAGAAGCACAGGAAGGTGGCATTGAGAGAAAGCTATCTTATTGTAGATGTTGGGCATTACAAAACTTGACACCATCATTGCCTACCTAGAATTAAAACCAAGATAATTAAAAACCACTGTTTCTTTATCTGTGCTATGACTGATTTATTTCTTTAGAATTATAATCTGATCACAATGTTCCTAGGTATTTTTTGTTTGTCAATATGCATGTGGTAACATTTTATAAAGAAGCCTCTAATTGAGTGCATTTAGTAATGCCTAGCATTTGGATGGGAGGCCACCAGAAAATCACAAGACTAGATAGAGAAATTGGGGAAGGGACCCCCCAAAGGCAAATCACTTCAGTATTGTTTTCAAGAAAATAATATTATAGTCCTTATGATAATCAAGTTCAGTTAGACTCAAAAGAGATTTTATATTCATCTTGTATAATTAAAAAAAATGTTATTCTAGTTAAGCATTCTACTATTATTGCAAACTATACAAAATATTTTTTTTATCTCCATATATGATTTTTTCCAAATAAGTAGTTTCTTGCATTTTCCACTTGGTAATACTCAAAAGATTTTCTACATTCACAGTCATAGAAATAAAATTGTAGTTTAATTAGCCTTATACAATATGGTAAGCAAATGATATTCTGGGGAAAAACACAAAAGAATTGGTGTCATTTTGAAAGTTAATGCCATTATCTTCAAGAATTAATAGGAATTAGCTTATGGAAAAGTACTTGAAATTGAAAATGTTACACTTTATTTGGAATGGTATTGTTCAATAGTAATTGCTTAATGCCAAAAAATTAAAGTAAATGTACAGTCTCAAAGAATAACAACATTTTTTTTCAAATGTTTCTACTATTATAATTTGTAATTCTTTAAAATGCAGTTAGGACAGCTCTAAGTGTAGACTGTTTTACATAGATGCCTTTAGCCCAGCACCTGCTGGAAACCAAGGTCCTCCTCCTCCACCTCCAATGATGAGTATGAATATGAACAACAGAGGGACAATGCCTGGCTCAGCAATGGGTCCAGGTCCTTCGTTGGGGCCAGAAGGAGCTACAAACATTGGAACCCCAATGATGCCAGATAATGGAGCTGTGGTAATGTATCATAAACATTTATTTTTTTCTACAACATAGCAAATTTATCTAACAAGGATAACTTCACACGGTGATGTTATTAAAAAAAATTAAAAATTAAATTAAATGTATATGGAGATTCTCAGTCTTCCAGGTCATAGTTGTCCCAAAGGTGCTTTTTCAAGAGGAATTGGACTTCACAGCTGATGAAGCTTCTTGGGTGGGAAGCAAAATGTCTTCAGAGAGTTGCTTCTTGAAAAAAGACCTTTGGGACAAAAATTAAATTAGTTGCTAAATCTGCCATCAATATCACTCCTATTACTAACATTACATAACATGTTGTTTACTTCTTTTAATATAAATAAAAGTAATGAACAAAAACATTTTTATAAGTTTTTGGGCTATTGAAAGTTATCATATTTAAAGGAGCATGAGCACATGCAGTTCAATGTGATTCCTCCCCCCAAATGATTATGTCTGAAAGAGTCTATGGAAAAGACATTTAAGATTTAGTTTTTATTTTATACTGTTGACATGGATTACTAATAAACATGTTTTATTTTTGGTGTATTGAAATGATTCATAGTGTGAAGCTATCTTTGAATATTTTTTTAAAGCAAATTTAATTGATTAACAGATTTTTATCCGAGTAAGTTTATAACCACAAAGCTTTTTGTAAAACCTGACTTTTTAATGAAGAATTTCTCCTAAAAGCTAGATCTGATTCAGTTGTTAAGGACAAGGCAAGGATATTTGCTAATATTTATACAGCATTTAAATATTAAAACTTCTTGGTTCTATTATTATAGCATTTCTTGCTATGTTTGGAGTTCCAAAGAAGTGAACTTGATGAAGTAAAATGTATTCAGTGTTTTCGACACTAAATCGTTATAGTAAAACAAGAATAAAAAAACCTAATTGTTTCCCTGAAAATAAGACCTCCCTGGATAATAAGCCAAATTGGGCTTTTGAGTGCATACGTTAAAATAAACCCTCCCCTGAAAATAAGCCCTCTAAAATATTTAAACGCATGCACAGCTGGTCCCCGTCATTTCCTGGGGGGAACATGCTCCCTGCACCCCACATGCACCTGCCTTCCACGCAGAATGGCTTCAAGGCTGCTCTTGCAAACCCTAGCTACCGCACCCCTTCTCATAGTGGTGGCTGCAAAAATAGTGACAGGCCCAGTGACATTAGGGCTGGCAATAGTGTTATAATAGAAACAGAGATAGAACGTCTGTCACTCTGATTCAGCTGATCTGTGGACTGCGGACCAAGGTTAAATGGCCTCCTGCACCTCCAAAATAATAAGACTTCCCTGAAAATAAGGCCATACATTCATTCGAGGGTCAAAAGAAAATAAGACCCTGTCTTATTTTCAAGGAAACAGAGTAGTTATATCTGCAGTCTTCTTATGTATGTATTGCATATGTTATGGGAGTATGTATGTATGTATATTATTTTCCGTAAGAACATCGTGCTGTTTTTTAAAAGAGTAATGAACTTAATTATTGTATGTCATTTGCTGAGGAAATCGTTTCATAAAGTGATTTGATATACCTAGTTTCTAGGTTCAGCATGTCCTGTCCGTATTATTGAACCACGTGATGAGTCCATTTCTCTACTTTTTAACGGAGGAAAATAATGAACAGCATTATGATGTAACTAATAAAGAGAAAATAATGGTTAAGAAGGCGCACTCATTTTTGTTAGTAAAAGAACTGGAAACCATCTTAAAAGTTACATGGTCTACACCATTTTCAGAAGAGCTGAATTTGTTTTTCAAAATCACTTCAGCCTAGTATATCTGAATTATTACCGATATTATTGCATATATAATAAAATATTTATCTATAGAGTTCTTATATTAATAAAGGAAAAAGTAGACATAGCTAAACGTTTAAATTTGCTTAATTCTCCTTAAACATGTATCTGCTATTTTTGTAATAAATTGGATAACAACGATACCCAATCTCGTATCAGAGAACTTTTCTTATAAGGTTTCTCGCTTAGTATGTTCTTATCTACTCGGGTAATACTGCAATTTATCAGAGCAGATTTGCAGGGAGTGGAATGCAAAAGGAAAAGGATGCAAAATTATGCCAGTTATCTTCACAGCAATTGACCCAGAAAATGAGATAATTACTGCTGGTTTTATAATTTTTAGCATTAACAATATAGCAATATTCATATCAGTGACTTAGTTTCTTTGTTACATTCATTTCAAGAACCAGAGTTTGCTGTTCTCTGAAAAAATCTGCTGCTGGTGGTTTTGGATTCACATTTTTAATCCCAATTGGATAAGTTGTAGTTGGCCAGATAGGCTATTATGTCATTCAGGGACCTTAATTAAAATTTTCTCTTAGTGAGGCATTTAACATTCATATTAATTTATATAACTTTAAACAATGCTTATCAGGGTAATGAATTAGCAATTTTTCAAGATTATGAAATCTCATTTCTCTAGTTTCAAAAGAGAAAATGATAAATTTTCTATAATTTTAAATTAGGACAAACAATCTGTTAGGTTACAATTTATATTTTAAAGACATTAAATATAAATTTGGCTGTAAATGTTCATGTGAATTACATGAAATCAATATCTAATCTATCTATCTATTTATCTATGTCTATATTTATGGCACACTTGTAACAATGTTGAACCTAGATTCCTGTTGCATTAGCTCTCTTAAAAATTAAGTTTAAGTAAGTTCTAAAATGTACTTTTAATTTCATTTCTTTATACATATTTTGATATACTTTATACATTCTTAATATTCATGCATACTTAGATTTTGTACAGAAGAGTCAGAATATAAAATACCCATTCATTAGAATTTGACCTCTTAGAATGGTTACACTTTGCCTATCTATTCCTTTAACTAAATGAGCTGGTTGTCACAATATTATTTGACTTTTTAGTTTACATTCAACTTTTAAAGGTAATGACTAAATTAATTGCTCCTTTCTTCCTTCTATGTGTCATCCTGATTCTGCTGGACTATCTGCTGAACTTCCTGAAAACGTCATATTTCCCCTATTTATTGTAATTCAAATTGGGGTTTTGTTCTAAATGGACTTATTGTAGCATTCTGAGAGATTTCCTCAAGGAGGCCCACCACAAATGGGTTCACCTATGGTTAATAGACCAGGCTCTGAAACTCCTCAACCAGCTATGGGTGGTGTAGGTGCCGTCAATAGTGGACCCAGTGGCTTTGGTAGAGGAAATCCTGGGGGCAGCTTTGAAGGACCTAACAAGCGTCGCAGATATTGAAACATTCACTTTTGTACTCTTGTGAAATTGAATGAATGACTATCTGGTGTTATAACTCTATATAATTTCAACTGTTACTTTTGAATGGTTTTACTGTTAATATAGACATTAACCTTTTTTTGTAAACTCTATAGACTTTTTTTTATATTTAGTCATAGACTTAGATAGTGTAGAAATAATGCACTTCATTTTGTACATCAGTTGTTTGTGACTACCACAAAATATAATGTGACCATGCTGTGAGATTTGTGAGTTACATGCTTACAATAAAATAACAGTTTAAATGATTTTGAAACACTGCTATGAATACTATCTTTAAATTTAATTGTAAGTATCCATAATTATTTTTCTTTGACAATGCCTATCTTTTGGGGGGGGAGGGGCGGTGTCTGCTTTATCCATTGTAATTGTATGACAATATAAATGCAGCTTGCAATACATAGAAAAAGTTGAGGTTAATGCAGCTTTAGAAAATATGAAACTGTTGGTAAGCCAATATAGATTTGTGTTTTTTTAATCAAATGTTATTTTTCAACAACATGTATAAATCTCTTTGGAATGGGATTGTTATGATAATGTAATCCTGTGTTTAAGTTCAAATAAACATTTTGAGCCTTGAAAACCTACAAGTAGTGAATACTCACCTTTGATCTTAACTAGATTATGAACAGAAATAATTTTGAAGGAAATAAATTTCAGATCATTTAATGTATCATTAATGCTATTTGCAGCTGTGCTTCCTCGGTAGTGGATTTATAAAATATATTCAAAGTGTTCTTTTCCCCCCAAACAGATTTTCGTTTTTTAAAAAATATGCTAGATTCCTATCTAATATTAAAGGAAATGCTTTAACAAATTCTGGAAACATTAGCAACTACTAGCACTTAATAATTGTGGTAGACAAAATAATTTCAGTTCTGGCCTTCATTTAAATATATAAATCTTTTCTATTTTTTCACAATAGCCTATGTCAACTGGAAATAAAAATATAAATAGAAAACTATCCCAGAACTTCAGTTATATAATGCATATTAAATGTATAAAAACAATGTTTTAATATATACTATTATAATTATAGTATCATGAAAGCATTTCATCTTGGATATTTATTTTGTTTTATTTTGACCGCTATATAGGCAAATCAAGTATATTAGAGATACATGGGAAATAGCTGTTACTGCATAAGCATAGCATGGAGCCGTGGGGACTCAGTGTTTAGAATGCAGTATTGCAGGCTAACTCACTGCCAGGAGTTTGAATTCTGACCAGCTCAAGATTGACTCAGCCTTCCATCCTTTTGAGTTCAGTAAAATGAGGACACAGATTGTTGGGGGCAATATGCTGATTCTGTAAACCACCTAGAGAGTGATGTAAAGCAATATGAAGCAGTATGTAAGTTTTAAGTGCTACTGCTATTTCATGTTACATGAGTGGACTAAAGTATATGGTTAAACATATTTATTGCCAGTGCAAATTTGATAAGATTATTTTTAAGAAACAAGATGGGAGCTTTCTCTGATCTCATATTTATAGGAAGCTAAAAGATTTGCCTAGCATATAAGGGAGTGTGTGGAGCAATTGATTACAGGTGTTATGATTTCATTACACAAATAATACAGCTTATCTACTTGCGTCAGATATTACCATGCAAATATGTAATTGCAGTATTTGTATCCTTGGTTTCGCAAAGGAGACCCACACGGTCATATTTTTATCCATGAAAAGGTGAATGAGTATCTTTATATTGAGACTGAATACTTCAGTTTTTCTTGTTCTATTGACTGCAGAAACTATAATTAGATTATCAGTTCTTGGAATTTATACCGGTGCTATTTGTTTAAAAGAAATACTTCCTAGATTTACATTTTAAGAATTACAGTATCATATCTTTTAAAATATATGTATATGGCTCTAATTTTCAGTACTTCCATTATCTCACTCTTAAATAATAAAGAGAGCATGCATTCAACTATATTTAAGTCACAATATCTAAATAAACAATAAGTTCAAACATTTTGATCGAATCGGAGGGTTGAAACATGATGGTAATCTTTGTTTAATGATGTGATGTCACTTGACCAAGCCACTTCATATGACAGCTCCAACATTCCAGTTGTCCTTGTTAAGTGTTAAACATGACACTACTTGGTTACTATTTACAAATTCCTAACGGCTTCCCCACTTTCCTGCATATTTTTAAATCTTTTTTTATAACATTCTAACATTAAAGTTTAAGTTTATTTTATTGTCATTGCACCTCATACAACGAAATTAAATTTGCACCATGAATAGGGATAGTGTGATATTACTGCAGAACTGGAACTTAAGCTAGTAAAAATCCCAATGACAGAATGGGTTATGTACAAGAGTTTAGATTATTGAAAAGATAAATGAAACTGGTTTTTAATTTACTGGATGATTTCTGCTAGTTTTATTGAATTCTTCTGCACACAACACCTTTAAAGGAAACATGTTTTCCAAGAATGCATGGAAATTACTCATTCCCAGGAAAATATTTAGTTGCTTTAAGGGTTTGCAGTATTAATACTTTTGAGAAGCACCAGTTTTTATAGTTGTTTTCATGCATCTATTATCTTTAAAATGAAATGTATTTAAATTATAACTATATTGCACCTTAATTTTGTGATGTGCAAAGAATTTTTAAAATGAAACGTTTGTTTAAATACATTGATATACTATTGACTCTTCTGAATGTGTTAATTCACTCTAGACCATTTTCTTTCTCAACTTTTTTAAATTCCAGATTTCTAAAGCATCTGTTAATCTGTCTGTTACCTTGCGTACTAATTTTAATACTGAAATTTGGAATTGATTAGCAAAAACATTTTTAAAATAAACACTGTCAACAGAAACTTAACTTCTTTTTAAGCCTCAGTCATGCATATTCATTTTAGATTTTAATTGGATTATCAGTGTATGTTTTCATATAACAATAAACCAACATTTCTTTGGGGAATGGTTTGTTAAACCAGAAAAAAATGAAACAAGTAATCTGACTTTTTTTAGCCAATTCCAGATTTATTTTGTCGTGAAGTCTTAATATCACTTTATAGTGCTTTGTTAAAACCACACTTGAAATATTGCATCCAGTTTTGGTCGCGAGTTATAAAAAAGATGTCGAGACTCTAGAGAGAGTTCAGAGAAAAACAACAAAGATGATTAGGGGACTGGAGGCCAAAATGTGGTTGGGTAGGTCCAGTCTAAAGAAAAAAAAGGACTAGGGATGACATGCTAGCAGTGTTCCAATATTTGAGGTGCTGCTAGAAGGAAGAGGGGGAGGACCAAACCACCTGAAAGCAGGACAAGAAGCCATGGATGGAAACTAATCAAGGAGAGAAGCAACCTAGAACAAGATAAATTTTTTGACAGTGCCAATTAATTAGTGGAACGACTTGCCTCCAGAATTTGTGGCTCCAACACTTTCGGTCAGCCGGAAGAACAGAGGGAGCCCGGTTGCGCCCACTGGCGCTGAATCACATTGATAAACATGTCCGGCGCCGGAACTAGTTCCTGTGCCGGGGTGGTCTCATCAAAAAGCCCTTCCTTCGGATCTTGAGATACAGAGGGGCTAGTGGACCCTTGGGTAGTGATACTCAATTGGGTAGAAGCTTTAGCCTTATGCAATATTGACTTGAATATGGAAGGGTGGAATAAGCCAGTAAAGGCAGGTTTTTCAGGAGGAGGATTCTCATCCTCTGAAAATTCCTGTTCCTCTGCATTGTCGTCCTCCAGGACAGATTTCTCTATGGCGATAGAGGTACCTGGAGAAGGAGGACCTTGTACCTGATCCCCTTGGACAGGTTTCTGAGTAGTTTTTAAGAAGAGAGTGGACAAACATTTGTCTGAAATGGTATAGAGTTTCCTGCTTGAGCAGGGGAATTAGAAGATCTCCAAGGTCCCTTCCAACTCTGTTGTACTTTTATTTCTTTGCAAGGTAATATATTCTTTTTAATTCCAGGAATAAATGTAGGCTATATTCTAATGGAATTGACACATTCACATCATGATTTTTGACTGTTGTGCTTTAGCTTCAGTGAAAGTTCCTTCTTTCTGCTACCATCATGCTATGATACCACAGAATCACTTGTTTTTGAAATGGGTTCTATTGAATGAAACATGATTTACTTTTCAGTCAAGCAAATTGTCAGTATTTATTATACTTATTTTTTAGATGTATTTATCATGTAATATTTTTTTATTTTACAACGGTTTATAAAACCAGTACTTATATAAGTTCAGTTCTTTTATAATAAACTGATCTTTCTGAGCTTGGCATTGTCCACATGTGTTAGATTAAAATTCTCATAACTCCAATCAGAAATTAAATTGTTTAAATATCAGAATTTGACTGCAGGTAGGCATTCATAATATGATTTCTGATTCTGGTATAATGATTGATTTAATTATTAGTTTATATATTTTTCAGTGTGATTCTGGCAATGGTACGGATTAAATATAATCGAGAAAAATGAGCATATGCATATCTATATGCTATGAAAATGCTCATGTTGGTACAAAACATCCATAGCCACCTATTAGAAAAATTCATAAAATGTAAGAGAAAGACAAAAACAAAAACTTGAGTTCATTAATAAGTGCTTTATGGAAAGCATGTCCAAAAATATTCCCAAGCATAGGTGGACGCTGGATGATGCAATAAGAAGTTGGAACATTTAAAAACTGTAATTAATATTTGAATATCTCTGACTCGAGTCTTATTTTTTGGCTTGGATAATTCATGTTATCAATGTAATCACAACAGTTTTATAGAATACTGTATGAACTGATAGTTTTAAAAACTGAAGAGTATTTTTTTTACTATCTGAAGTTTAAAATATGCTATCGTATTCATAAAAAATCTTGGAAGATTTTTTTGTCAGAAAGAGGTTGCTCAAATTTAAATTTTTTAAAATCAAATATCTAGGGTACAGATCCAGTATTCATGAAAAGTAAAATCATATGTATCTGTGTGTGTGTGTATGTATTACATTGGACTACAGGTAGTCCTTGACTTGCAGCAGATCATTTAGTGAACATTTAAATTTAAAATGGCCCTGAAAAAAGTGATTCATCGTTTTTCATTCTTTCGATCTTTGCAGCATCTCCTCGCTCCTCCAAATTCCTCCAAATTCAGACACTTGGCAACTGATTCGTATTTATAACGGTTGCAGTGTCCTGTGGTCATGTGATCAGTTTTTGTGACCTTCTGACAAGCGAAGTCAATGGAGAAGCCCCAACTACTACTTAACTACTATGTTACTAACTTAACAACTGCAGTGATTCACTGAACTGTGGCAGGAAAAATTGCAAAATGGGCTAAACCCATTTAACAACTATCCTGCTTAGCAACAAATGTTGGGCTCAACTGTGGTTGTAGGTTGAGGACTACCTGTAATTTGGCGCTTGATTTCTAGAGATATGACATCTCTAATAAATAAATATAGTTTTTTCTTCCTAGTGTTTTCCCCAAGTACAGGGTCTCTTCTTTCCCACTCCATCAAGTGAGTATTCAACTATTGATTGCAGCAGGAATTGACTGACTGGTTTGTCACCAAAGTCTGACATTGTGAGCTGAACGAGTGATTGGCCCAAAGTCACCCAGCCG